TAGATAGATAGATAGATAGATAGATAGATAGATAGATAGATAGATAGATAGATAGATAGATAGATAGATGACATCACTGCACCTCCCTGCAGTCTGCAGGAGCAGAAACATTTGAATTTTCCTCCTCTGCTCCAAACTTTCCTCCTCCTCTTCCTCCTCTTCCTCCTCTTCCTCCTCTTCCTCCTCTTCCTCCCTCAGCCGGAGCTCCGGGGAGCGGTGGGTGTGATGATGCGGCTCCGCCGTCAGAGCGCTCTCCCCGCGGTTCTGTGAGGCAGGAAGGACCGGTCCGGAACCGAACCCCCGCACCCCTCCTCTCCTTCTCCTCCTCCTCCTCCTCCTCTTCCTCAGCGGGTCTCTGTCAGCATGCGGGTCCCTGTGAGCGTCCTGTACCCGGTCCTGTCCCTCACCATCTTCGGATCCTGCCCGTCCATGGTGAGTCCTCCGGCCGCTGCAGAGAGCCTCGGTTCGGTTCGGTTCGGTTCTGCAGGTTTGCGCCTTGAGTCAAACTCTTTGTTTTTAATGAGAACTAAAAAAGGAGCAACACTGCGGGCTTTTTGTTGTTTGTTTTTTGCGCACCTGTTTTATTTCTGTGAAGAGAAATGTAAAGTTTGAGTTTTCTCTGCAGATCAAACAAATCTGCGCAGATTTTCACCTYAAATGAATATTTATTCAAACATCCACCTTCATTTCTGTTCCGAGCAGTAAATATAGATGATAATTTCTCTTTTCTTTGATTAGAACTCAGTTTATTTCCTGTTTTTATTTGTTGAAATGATTTAATGTTCCTGTCACCTGCCGCACATCTCGACCCACAGAACAAACTAATGAAAGTTTTAGGAAAAACTTGATGTTTATTCACAACTCATCTGTTCAGTAAAATATTCTCCAGCTGCAGGGTGGAGCTAAACTCACCTGTTTTTTTTTTTTTTTTCAGTTCAGGGTTCTGTGAGAATGTTATGCACAGTTAGTATCTTACCTGTTGTGGATAATCTTTAAATGACCTCAGTTTGGGTTAAAATCACTGTCTGTTAATCTGCTTTATCTTCCTGTAATGAGTTCATTATTGTTATTATATTTCCTGTTATTGTTGCTGAGTTTTACATTTTTAATGATTATAAAGAGCTGGTGCTTTAAGTATTATCCCCTGAAGGGTTAAGCTTATATTAAGGTTAAGGTATATAAGGTTGTATTTAAATGTAACTTGATGGAGGACCTAAGACCAGTGTAGTTGTTGTTTATTTGTTATGTTGACAAAGGTTAGTTTCGCACCTCAGGTAAACACATCAGGGGGTGTGGTCACGTTACTCACCTGATGCTGCGTGAGAGGGTTTCTGTCGTTCTGGTCATTTTTGAACATTATTCAGTTGTAATTCAAGTTCTCTTTATGATAACGAGTTGTTTTAGTTTCAGAATAAACTGACTCGTGGTGGAAGTCACGAAGCAAAACTTCAGCTGGCAGCAGCCATCTTGTGGCCGAGACCAAAACGATGCTGATATTTTAAAACTGCTCGTCACAAAATCAAACAAATAAAGTTATGCCAAATGGGTTTGTGTACTTTTTAACCATTTGATTTTTGTTTTAAAAGCAGTTAATAAAAAACACAAAACAGATGGTTATTCTGTTTTTATTTCAACCTGGACAGACTCACAWGAAGACAAAKTYAAATTAGGAAGTTTATTGACARGACTGACAGAGTTTGGCGCTCGGACCCCGGCAGAGGATGTGAGCGCTGTGAGAGGATGGAGGCTCAGATGAGCTGCTTAAGATAAGAGGCAGGAGTTTTTTCTTCCCCCTRGGGGTCCGACACTGGTGGTGCAGGTCAAAGGAGAGGGAGGAGGCCAGAAGATGAAGGGAGGAGGGGAGGTGGAAGGTTGGCGTTCAGCTGGAGAGCAGGCGGTGCGATCAGAGAGTTTTATCCACTGTGTCAGATGCTGATTGGACGAGGCTGGGCTCGTCATGCAGCAGCTGGATGGAGCAGGTGGAGGTGGATCAGTSTTCTACAGCTGAACTTTCCTCTGCGCTCCATTTACTTCAGAAACAGGAAAACATTCATCGTTTAATTTCTCAAATCAGAAGTTGAACTCTGTTGTTATCAGACCATTTAAGGTGGAACTAGTTAAATAAGTTTTTTTAARTAACAGGCGACTGCCTGTAAACAAACAAACAAACAAATAAATAAATATATAAATAAATAAATGAATAAATAAAATCTAGCTAACTACTTTTGCATTTCTTTAACTGCAGACTGGATTTATTTATTAATATGGCAAGTCTAACTAATTTATTAAGAAAACTACGGCAGGTAAAATAAGTATTGAACACTTCACCATTTTTCTCAGTAAATATATTACTAGAGGTGCTAATGACATGAAATTTTCACCAGATGTCGGTAACAACC